AGAATACCAGAGACAACATTACTACAATAGGCTACATCAGCGGTTCCCAATTCCAGTCCTCGCACTGGATGTGAAGATGTGTGTGTGTGTGTGTGTGTGTGTGTGTGTGTGTGTGTGAGTGTGATGTGTGTGAAGAAGCTGCACAGCTCAAATCCGTGAATTAATGTTCTGAAGTGAAGTAAACTTCAACGGATTTCCTCTGCTCAGGGAGTATAGGGAGCAATGAACACTGTGTAGGGATCATATCGTCCAGAACACAGTTCATGCACGTAGCTCACTTCTAACGAGCTGGTTATCTGAGGCCCTGTCCCAAATGGCACCCTAAACCCTCAAGGTCTTCCTCTGAGTCCGCACTTTCGTGACGTAATGCCGCTTTGACTGTCGGGTAGAAGTCTGCTGTGGAGCTTGCCCCAGTGCGGGCTCAGCAGAAGTGTGGATCGAGGGCGCATAACGGCCGCAAAGGGGGAACTCGCGAGCACCCTTCTGAACGCTAAAATTACGAATGGGACACCCTACGGTCTCGTGGACTTAACGGACACACGCACGTGGCGGCCATTGTAAGTCCATAAGTCAGCAAGTGCACATGAAGTGTTCCATTTGGGACGGGGCCTGAATCGGGTGTGTTAACTAAGAGAGACATGCAAAATATGCAGAGCTGGGGGGCGCGAGGACAGGAATTGGGAAAAGCTGGGCAACATCATGTGTCATTTACCCGTGAGAAAACTTTAAAAGTACTACAATACCAGGAAGGAAGATCGGGTTGTTGATGTTTGTCTGCCATTCTCGCTCTGTCTGCACCATAGACTGTAGGTCTGCACAGCGTGCGTGAACGCGCTGATGACGTATCCTGTCTGCGCGAACAGGGTGCACAGAGGTATGCTAATACATACGTTGACAGGCAGGGAGGAAAGCCAATTAAAATGCTCGGACCGAGCGTTTTGATTGGACAGACATTTATTGGTCCTACGCCTTCCACAGAATATATAAATACAGACAAAATACATTTAGACCACTTAACTTAATGATTGCTATCGTGATGTGAAGAGACTTTCAACCAGCATAACAAAAAATGTTTCTGAAGACAATCACCTACTGCACCTTTAACAAGTTTGTGGTAATTATAAGATGTGATAAAACAAATTTACTCTCACAGCGTCTTCTCTACATGATGTTAACTACATGGAAATGTTACTGTTTGTGGGCGGGCAAGTTGGCAACATAGAACGTGGGCAGACATTATGCAAATGTGCTACTTCATGACGTAGACCCGTAACAGAATAAGATTCAAATTCCTGATGACTCGTTTAGGCGATTGCGAGCCGACTCTTTTTTTTTGATAGACAGTAACATTATTTATCATCGGCTTCACAACTTTGCAGATAGTTTATGAATGCATACAGCTACATGACTGCATGAAAGGTAATATTCGAAAAAGCATAATAGGGGCACTTTAAAGACTGTAAAACTATCCCTCACACCCTTGTTTTCATCTACAATAATTTATTCACAGGGAATTTATTTTGCATTTGATTCTGTTCATGTAAATTTGTTGTGAGATAAAGTACAGTTAATTAGTACAACGCTGATCACACTGCACCACACAATAATTTCATATAAGATTCATGCTATGAAACTTGATATGCCTTCAGAGTTGAGGAAAGTAACTATGTTTCTAAGCTCAGTCAGTATAACTTGTTGAACAGAGTCGTGAAGACCCAGATTACTTCTATAATAAGAGTGAGCTTGTTTTTTGTCAGGTGGCTGAGCAACTCCCATTTTGTGTTTGGATTTGTCTGCGCAGCCTGCTCTGAAAGCTCTGACCCTCATAAAGCCTCTCTATTGACGCAGGCAAATTGAGGCTGTCTACAGAGCGTGTGGAACAGACTGTTCTTTCAGCTGCATCATTCTCAATATTCTTGCTCATGTGTGTCTTTTTGGTCATTTATTTTAAGAAACTACTCACTTTCAATCTTTTTCAACATTGTTTTCACAATGCTGTTTTTCTTTTATGTTCTATTTCTGCACACTCATTTTGTTTGGAGTCTCTTTGGGATTACGTGTTGATCTACTCCAATAATGTGCACTATGATGTTGGCTCCATTGTTAGGTTGTTTCTAGTCTTCTGTACTGTAGCCAGACCTTCAGAGTGACAGCAGAAGGTCTGGACTACATAGCGGCTATCATTGGCCAAGGGCTGCCTGACATGTAAAGTGACCATTCACAGTTTGTTTTGTTCATCTCCAAGTTTGGGGGCATCAAAATATAAAGTCGATGTTCCTATAATAAGAGACCGGCATGCAATTAATTCAAGAATGTTGTGCAAGATTACTACATTAATGGTGCTGTGAACTTCACATACTTTTCAAAACCCAGTGCTTAGTTGATCCTGATAAGCACTTACTGTCACAGCTGTAAACACAATGGCTTTCTTATTCCAATAAGGAGTTTGGTGTCATGTCAGCTTTGTTTCTAGGTGGACCCGTCTCCTAGAAATCCAATGATGACTTCGAAACTCCTGAAGTGTTATCCTATTTTGTGTGCTATGTGCATCAGACATTCAGCCAGTGGTCCAAGTGTGTGACATCTGAAGCTGAGACTAGGTTGTGTCACTAGTATGTATAGTATATAATCTTTGTTGTTACATAACTTGGTTTGTTTGTTCTGTGTAGATGCACTTTTATGTTTATTCTCTGTAAAGCACAATGAGCTGGAAAAAAAAAAACATGTAGATGCATTTTTTTCACTCCAAAATTGCTAGTAAATTTCACAATTAATTAAAAATAAACAGCAAGTAACACATTGAACTACGCATTGAATTACAAATAGCACATAGATTTGTTTTACAGTGTCCTTAAAGTAAACATTATTATTATTATTATTATTATATAATCAACAACAATTGCATTGGATGGATGGGCAGACATAAGTGACGACCCACTAAATGCACAATTTAAATTCATTCATTCATTCATTCCCCTACGTATTGTTGAAATGGGACCAGTCATCCATCAAAGGCAGATGCATCTTAGAATTTTTTCACAGCGACTTTAAAACACAAAGATGCATGCAAAACAGACGGTGTGTAATGATATGGAACACTCTGTTATGGAAAATCTGTCTTCTTAAAATGTGAACGGCCTGGGATGTTTTCATATATTTTTTTTTTGTTTAATTTAATGTTAATTGGTGATATTTCAACAGTTGTTCTCTTGAGGCTCAGCAGCAGAGTACTCATCTCAAGAGCCTCTTTTAGCCAAACAGAGGTGTTTGTTTATTCTGAATGCAAATGTCAGAGTCTGTCACTGAACGCTTTACAGCATCTTTCCTCATTTATCTCTAAAGTCTCTTTAAAAAGGTCAAATCCCTCCATTAGATGCTGACGCTTTTAGATCTCGCAAGCAATTTGTACAGTTTAATTTAATGGTGGGTATTCTCCAACCTTAAAATTTGTTTTGTTTTGTAGTCATTTTTTAAGGATTTACCTGTATATTGGTGCTTCATGAAGCATTTCAGTGCAGATAAACCCTTTTATATCTCTTCACATGTCATTGAGCTAGTGTTAGTATCATAGTCCGATTCCTGACAATGTCTGAAGTCTGATTTTTTTATTATTTTTCTTTATTCCCTCAAAAAGGGAATTGTATCATATTACACTACGCAAATACACACACATCAGTTCTATTTCAAGAGCTGTCAATACCCAACCCATCTGATGTCGCCTGCATGACTGCACTGACTTGAAGCTGAATAGGGAATACGCTTCACATGTGATGCGGTAAACTGGTGAAAAGGAAATAAAAATAACACTAGCTAAACTTGAGCAAGCGTGCTACTAATCCGACGCTGAACATATGGAAATTGTTGGGGCCTCAGAACAGAAAGTAATGCAAATGGATTAGTGTGGAAATTGCTTTGCAAATTGTCGTGTTTTGCTCTTATCGGCATCCTCACTGGAATTATTTGATAAGCTAGGATCACAAACAAACATTCTAACACTGATGTTTGGATAGAATTAATTTTTGTCATTGTTTACTCACCTTCATATTGTTTGAAGAAAGAAAGAAAGAAAGAAAGAAAGAAAGAAAGAAAGAAAGAAAGAAAGAAAGAAAGAAAGAAAGAAAGAAAGAAAGAAAGAAAGAAAGAAAGAAAGAAAGAAAGAAAGAAAGAAAGAAAGAAAGAAAGAAAGAAAGAAAGAAAGAAAGAAAGAAAGAAAGAAAGAAAGAAAGAAAGAAAGAAAGAAAGAAAGAAAGAAAGAAAGAAAGAAAGAAAAAGAAAAAAAGAAAGTTGTGCGACTGAGCATTATTACATGAAAGAGCAGACGGAGAGGTAGAAAGATAAGAATTCATACACAGAAACAGGATATTACTGGTGCTCTCTCATATAATTAGTCTCATCATCTGGAATGACATCCTCCCTGTTTCAAATAAACATTTCTTGGAAATGAGGGTGTTTTGTGTTTGTCCATCCATGACAAGCGCAGAGACTCACTTCAGTGAGGTACAAAGATTATGGCGCATTACACTGCATCCACACACCCATACAAAATAACAGAAACAAATATATAATAATTGTAATGAAAACAAGCTTTGAGCTTTCAAACGCATACCCACTGCCAACATGTCATGTACTATTATAGTAAAGGCACATTGTGTGTGGATAGATAGGCCATCTGACAGTGTGGAGTATGCTTTATACTCTTTATGGAACTGGAATAAATCCCATTGAGACCACAGAGCTGCAGTTTTGCTGTAAAATATTCTGATATAACTTCATAAATAAACTACATAGGCCGTCCTGAGGGTTGAAGTCACATAGCTGTAGAAAATAAAATGGATGTCAAAGCAAAAATAAATCATTTTAAAGACAGCATGATATATAGTTCAATCCAAACATCTTGGTATATAAGCGCAGAAAGCAAAAACATGTATATATACATATTATATTATATATACTTTTTTTTTTTTTACACTAATTGTGATTTTTTTTTTTTTGGAATACAGGTGTAAGCCTGCTGTGTGAGAACGTTTGAAATCAAGGCTGCGAGAAGGAACCATATGGCACAAAATACAATATAGGTAAGAATGAGCTACTTGTTGATGTGGAAGTGTTCATGTATTCACACCCTTTGATTATGCCAATTTACATCTCCTTCACCTATCGCTTTTTATTGTTTGACTGATGAAAAAAGGTGGAGAGATCTAATTAAGCATATCAATCATTCAATAGATTTGTTTAGGAGAGAGAGAACTTAAAGATATGTTAGATATTTTTAAAGGTCATGTTATTGCTCTACAGGTATATCCTTTTTACAATCTCTAGATTATAAAACATTGCATTCTGTCAGCAATGTAACGTGGCAGTAACGTATAGAGACCTCGGCTTGTAACTACACTCTAATTACTATTTTGAAAATTATAACGCGTTAAATTACTCTGTTACTAAAAAAGTAATCAAATTACAGTAACACGTTACTAAGTAATGCATTACTGCCCAACACTGGTCATGACTGATTCGTGAAACTGTAGTAACAAGGTCGCAACTCTGTCATTTGAACCACATTGGTTTAACAATACAGAACTGTTGCTAATGACTTCATACAGGAGGTGGAGTAGTAACTATATACTGTAAACTATATAATGTATACAGAATAGTATTTTGATCCTCTCAATTTTCCACATTGAAATATTTGTGACAGGCAATCTAATTTATTTATCATATTCATCCAATGATGGAATGCTATAAACAGTAAAATATCAAGCCATATGTCAATTTAACTAATAAAAGACAAAGTCATTGGGAGTCATGGCAAATACGTTTACCATCAAGAACAATGGAGAAAGTACTATCTGTCTGTGTGTAGCTTTGTCTCACAGCATGCATTAAATTACAAATAAGTTAAAGTGGCCACTTGAAGAGCACCACTTAGTAAAGTCTTCTCTTTGCTTCTGAAAAATAATTGTGAACGTTTACCTTTGTGAGAAATTTCCAACATCCCTAACCGGCCTAGCAGTGAATCGAAGATATTACATTTAACCAATTTCTAGTAATTATTACAAAGTACTCTACTTTAAATACATTGCTGACATCTAAAATGATTAGTAAGGTGAAAATTATTCAATAATATTAATTTGTGATATTTAAATGTATTAAAGCAGTAATATTATTACTTTGAGATGTGCTCTTATTATGGGTTAATGCTTTTTTTCAAGTGTTACAATTGCTCCTAGCTACAGTTATAATCACCCACATTTCAGGGGTGATTATCACACTAGTCTTCTACTAAATTCCAAATTATAATCTAATCTTCTTATAACTGCACCTACTTTTGGCACATATAAATGGTTCTTATACCAAAAGATAAAATGCTACAATTGTCCCTGGTCTTTTTACTGTATAATAGGAACAGAATCCAACAGCAGAGGAGGACACTTTTGTATTCTCAGTCAGTTCGTGTATTCTGTCATGGTAGTTTTTTGGTGATAATGTAACACGACACATTATTGATGTGCACAAAGCGTGAGGAAATGTGACAGTGGCTTCTTCACTTTTTTTCCTCCTGTCATCTGTTGAATATTCATTGAGACTGAAATAACTGTGGTGGATATTTCACTCTGTTCTTTCAGTTCAGCGGATGTTTATTGCATATTCAGAGATGTTGTCACTGTTCTTGTATGAATTCAGTTCTTTTACGATCTGTTTTAATGACAAGATCCTAGTATTTCACTTTGGGATGTTCAATGCCACAACATATACTTTTACCCCTAGAGCGTGGAGTCTACTTTGTGTATACCTATCAAAATTAAATTGGGAATTGTTTGCTGTTCTCGGTTTGTGTCGCCACTCTAAACCACCAGAAGCAACAGAGCTTTATGCTAAGACAGGTCTGTCCTAACAACAACATGCGCACCCTCAGGGAAAATAACAAAGACGTTCTCAAAAATATGAACATACCTACAAAGAGGCCTTTAGATCTAGACGAAAAAATACTTTCACCAGCAGCCCTTAACAGCTAAACTTTTCATGTTTACTTTTCCAAGAATTCATTCTTTAACTTCCCTGTTGCAAATTAGCTTGTGTAGGCACAAACAGTGTCAGAACAGATGTGTTACATTGAGTTTATAAGCAGAGAAGAAACAAGAAGTTTTTTAGAGTTTTGTAAAATCGAAATAGCTGGACATCTAACGTATATAATAGCTAGTTTTGATATAATATATCTGTTAGAACTTCATAAGCATTCTAAAACTTAATCTGATCAACTTTTTGGAGTACTCTAGTGTAGCGATAGCTTCAGAGCTATCAGGATTGAACTACAAACCTGAAAACCTTAATTTTCTCAAATTTGATCCGAGCCCCTCTACGATGACAGTGAATTGATGTCTGTGCCACGTTACTCTTCATCCAGGAGTTTGACAAAGCCAGTCAATTTTATTAGTTATAAAGGTCAACCAATTAGAAGTGTAAAGAAAATGGCAACAATTCACCCAATTCTTATTCATCTGAAGGTGAAAAGATCTGTGGATATTAAATTAGAATTTAGACAACTTCTTTATGCCCTCTCTGGCATATGTTGATGTGTTGCTGGATATGATTTTTGTGCCTTAAGCAACAAATATGTTGCACATCTCTGTAGCTATTTTTGTGGTTTGACACAGCATAATGTACTTGTTAGTTTAATACAATGGCCTGTCACTAAAACCTGTCCTTTTGTTGGTCAGCATTGTTCTAAGCAGGCTGAAGAAGATTTTGGGAGGTTGAGAAGTCGCTGTTTTTCCGACAGCTGTCACTCAACATAGACCACCATTCATATTCCCTAAAGGGATTCACATGTCAATTGGTTCTTCACCTGCACCTGCATTTGGTCATCTATGTCCTTGACTGGTAAAACTTTCATTGGAAATCTGGCATGAATGGAAGTATTTAAGCAAAGAGTCAACAAATTGCAAGTCTTCAGTTTTAATAATATAGAGGCATTTTGCACTTATCTAACCTTCAATTCTCAATGCACTAAAAACAACTGCTACATATGCGTCTTACTGTAACTTACAATATTACTCTTGACATACACATTTATCCAAAGCAACTTACCGTATACATTTTTATCAGTTCAGCAAATCCACTAAAAAAGCCTAAGATACATGTGGGAGCTATGGAGAAACATAAGGTTATTGCCGACGGATAGCACCTGGCTACTGAAAAACTCAATGGCATATTTATAGCTGACACTCCCTAACCTAAAACTGCACTGGGGATTTAGAAATGTGCTAAAGAATCAGAGGCTAAAAGAATAAATGCATTTTTTTTTCACAAAGAACGTTTCAGATTTAAGGCTGCAGTACCATCAGCAACAACCTCTTAACATAAACAATACCTGACAAATACATGTGCACATACATCCTCTCACACAACTCTAGCATCAGCCTTTGGTACAGTCCCCAAGGACTGGGGACAGTTCACTATAATGTCTCAGAATAAATAAATAAATAAAATAAAATAACTAGTCCTTCTAACTTTAAGTGGTCACCAACATGTGTTTTTGATGTTTTGATGTGTGTGTCCCCATGTTCAATCACATAAACTGACCTCTGTAGCAAATTAGCTCAAAAGGGAAATGTATATAAATAATTACAATTAATTATGATTAATTACAACTATTTATAGCAGCTGCCAGTAATAACTGTAGCATAATTAAATTGCCATCAACTAATCTCTTCGTCCAGAGAACATTCAGTGTAAGTTCATATCAGCTGTAAGAAAGGATATATTTGTGGCCAAAGAAAATATCTTTCCTACAGTGTCAATGCATTAGAGTATGTAGCTGGATCAGAATCGTAAAGGGACATTATTCACAAGCGGTGACAAAACCAGAAACTCATGTAATTTGTGCACAAAAGTTTTATAAACTAAATGCTAACACATAACTAGTCTAACAAACAAACAAATAAACATACACGCACACATACATACAAAGGGGAGCTAAAGTGGATGAATGAAGCCATTAGAGAAACCAGAGAATGCAGTTATGGAAAATGAGCCAGAATGAGTTAAAAACCATCAGTGCCGTTTTACAAAGGGGTCTACAGCTTATACTAAACCTCTGTTTCGTTTTTTTTAAATGTATGATACTTGCATTGCCTTGGTCGTTAAATGAGTGTCCGGATGCAGTCTCGGATGAAAGTCTTGATGGTTTCAAGGTTTGGACTTGTGATCACGTTCTTCCGGATTTGAAGAGTGATGAACTCCAACAATGTTCTGACTCGGTGGTGGTTGGGAGTTTCTTCCCAGGTGGAAAGTGAAGAAGAGCTAAAAGAGACATGAGCTGAGATCCTAGGATCTTTGATGAATGGAAAGTCAAGGCCGAAGCCTGGCTCAAACTTAAGGATTCCAGAAAAGTTCTGAATCTAACAGAACTGCAGACTGCAGTGTCGAGGTCTGCCAGGCGCGGCTGTGTTGGCACTGGGACGTAGCAACCAGCAGACGGGAAGGTGACGATAGACGAGTGAAGAGACTAAAAGCGAGGCGGGTCAATGAAGTGAGGCCTTTTAAGTTCTGTGGAGGTCACACCTCTTGGGGGTCAAAGAGCCAATGGTGACTTGCACTTCTGGAAGGAAGGTTTACGACTCTTTGTCTCCGAACATGGTCATTTGCGTATGTAACTGGATTGGATGTTGATGCAAAGACTACTAAAGATTCTTAGAACACTAATATGTTGCATAGGTATAAACATATAATATACACTCTCAATTAGATCATCTGAAGACAAATACACAGAGACCAAACATGGTATAGGTGAGTTTACATTAACTAGTGGTCTATCATAAGCATGCATAAACAGTATACAATACACAAGACCATATACAAGGAGATAGTAATCATACACAAAGACCTGGGGATATGTATGATAGGAAAGTCAGATAAAAATGTGTCTATGTATTAATGAAAGAAGTCATTTTTAGAGAGAATTGAGTAGGGAGGAAGATTCTCTCTACACACTTTTAGGTCGTAAAGTTTATCTGATCTGGCTGAGGTGTCCTGGCCTGGAGATCGTTCACAGATATATAGGCACCGAGTCTGGTGT